TGGGTTGGTTTGCATCATTTTTGGCATACTTGTAGTCCATGGCGTATGAGTAACATTTCACCATATATCATTAAAATAATCATTGCGCATTTTCGTTTGCCTCACCACTCTTTTATTTATTAATCGATTTTCTTCGCTAGTAGCTTGATTTTTTCGTAAAAGAACAGACGTTGTGAAAACGCCATCGAATTCTAGAGCCCAAAATTAAGTGTCTGGTTTTTGCCGTTACAAAACTTTAGAATTTACCTACAGTGTAATAAGTAGTGTTAGGAAGTATCGAGTATTTTTGAGGATCGAGTTCTTTGGTATCGATACTTTCTTTAAATATGCACATGTTGGTAACATTTCAGATATGACGTTTTTGAACCGTAAGAACCATCGAGATGAATAGATTATATAGCAACATATTTTTTGTTTCAAAAATTTAAGCGAAAATCAAGTGGTAAAAATTAAAGCGAATTTTCATCACCAAACTTCGAAAACGTATACCGTGTGCCCAAATATTCCAACACTGACAGATCAACTGTAAAGAGGGACGTAAGTCGAGAGCAGAGCAGAGTGCCGCGTGTCTTAGTTAAAGAAGAGCTCATTGTGCGTGGGGAGGCTCAGCGCGAAAAGGAGGAAATACTGAAGCACTGCAGTGAAAGTAAAATGCTTGGCATGAATGCCTTATTAAATTGATGATGATGAGCGTGACGATGACGATGACGATGACGATGACTACCAAATATTAGATGATAATGATAACGTCGAAGGAAGAAAGCTATAAATTACGCTTCCGACGCAAATTCAGTCAGTGCACATGAATGGCTGCCATGCCTGCCATGCCTGCAACTGGAAGAATGCAACTAATGACCAAAACTATGTTTGCTGCTCATATTCAAGTTGCTGGATGATGATGTTCATGTTGATATGCTTGATTATGATCGTTGCAATTTCTTATTACAAAACTGTTAATGACTATTTTGCCTTTAGGTGAAACTAAGGCGATTTTGGCAAGAATGATGACAGCCATTAGAGAGTAGGTATGTACATACATACATACGTACGCCAACGTTGCCTTTCATAATGGAAATGCTGGCGCTGCACTTCGGGAACTAACTATGCATTTCGTTTGTTGATTTATTTATTATTTTTTATTTGTTTTTTTTTTGTCTTGTTGTTGCTTTTGTTTACTTTTCTCCAATAGTTGCCTTTATTTATGTTCGTGACATTGCCGGAAATGGAAATTGTTATAATCAGTAGTAGTAGTAGTAGCGACGTTGTTGTTGCTGTTGCACTTGCTACCACCAAAGTCCTAACTAACAACAACATTAATTGGACAAAATTTTCAACGACAGCTACAAAAACATTAACAACAACTCGCTGGCTGGCAGCTATGCAGTCGTCATCGCCGTTGACAGCCCAACGGTAGATTACACGAAAACTAGGCGCTCCTATGCCATAACCGAACAGTTGAGTTGCCTGAGTATGATGTGTTCGTGTGTATGAGTGCAGTGTTTAGCAATTCTCTGAGTTGGCAATAGCAGGAAGTAATTTGAATTAAGCGCCATTTATACTTGCTACTCTAAGCAATTTTCAAATTTCAAAAAGTTTGACTATGAAAAGTAATTTTTGGCCAAGCGGATATGCAATTGAAATGAAAACGAAGGCAAGAAGTTGAAAACTTAGGTACTACTAAATATTAATGGGAAGACGAGCGGCCAGCGGAGTGTGTGGCGTGTAGTACCTACGAAAGTTGGCAGAAGCAAAAAGTAAACTGGCCTAATGCGCGTCTTTAAGTCGAAAATGTTTTTGGAAGAGTGTAAGGTAAACCAACTGAGTAAACTTGTTTCAAAGTGACGTAATGCAATTTGCTGATGTTGCGTGGAAGTAGAGTAAAAAAAAAAAAAAATTATACGTGAAGTAGCCTGGAAATGGGAGGTAAAGGGTGCTAAACTGTTCTGGGAATGGTGCAATGGAAGACTGGCGAATGTACATAACTATGGATGTATGGATGTGTATACATATTAATGAGTTCTAAAAAGGCATTTGAGCTCGATCTGTTTTTATTTTTTTGTTTTTATTGTTTTTGCTGTGGAAATATGAGCGATTCTTCAAAAAGAAGGTGCTGCATTGCAGAGAAAGAGAAGGAAATTTTAGTAAAAATCCTTTTCGTTATTTTGAGTAAGAAGTGCCTATTTGAATATTGAAAATTTACGAAAAGACTTCATAACTCAAAAAACGAAATTCTTGAGCAAATAACGCATTACTCGTTACTCGTTTAATCACGCCCCATTTATGTTAAAATTTTGTGCTAAAATCTTCTGTTATTTTCGCATAAGAAGACATCTCTTTTTTCTACATTTTGATAGCAAATTTATAACTTAAAACGCGTCTCTTAAAAAATATGTTTTTTTGTTTGTGGAGCGACCTTCCATAAAGTGTGCGAGAAAATTCCGAAGGGTCCCAGAAAAAGTCCGAAGTGATCGCAATGGCAAATAAAAAATCCAGAAAAATTCCAATAAATCTTCAAACGATCGGAAAACAATCCAGAATTGTCCGTTATGTCTACTAAGCATACCCTTAAGAATGCCGAAATCACTCCAAAGAATCACAAAATATTACGAAATGTCCCGAAAAAGCCCAAAACCTACGCAATAAAAACGAAGGTCGCCAAAATGTCTCAAAAAATTACCGGAATTTGTGAAATGAAAAACGAGAGGCCTTGAAACGTGCGCAATGACAAATAAGATAAACATAAAATCTTGCAAATCCTTTTAACGTTCCTTCTTATGTTCGCGACCAGATCGGGGATGTTTCGAAATGTCCCAAAAACATCCCGAATAAACCTCTAAGAATTCCGAAATCTCTTAAAATATCCTTAAATGTATTCACTAAAAAGTGTAAAATTGCGAAAGTTAAAGAAAGACCTTCGCCAGAAAATCCCAAATAATTTGTTATTCCTCAAAAACATTTTATTTTCTATAGAATAACTAAAACACACCCAAAAGTCCTGAAATATCGGCGAATTGTGCGAAAAAAGTCTTGAAATTTAAAAAATTGAAAAACCGCCATATCCCGAAAATATTCCACAATTTAAGCAGAAAACCTGCGAATGAAGGCGAAAAAATACCCAGTAATGTGAACCCCTAGGGATCCCGAAAAAATACATACAAGTTCCGAAATCACTCCGAAACCTCGCAAAATGTATCGAAAAGTCCAAAAAATGTTAGTAAATAAAAAGCGAAAAACACGGATGGAATAGAGATAAATTAATAAGTTACATAAAATATTACAACAATGTGAATGTCGAACGAAAGGGGCTCCAAAAGGCTTTATTTCGAAAATATTTTTTAAGGGATTGCCACATCTTAAACATGTTAAAATCCCATTAAAAATAATTTAATTAAAATATCACAACAATGTTGGTGTCGAAATAAATGGGTTTAAGAACGATTTTTCAGAGAAATATTTTTTTAAGAAGGTTGCCACCTGTACAATAAGTTAAAATCGATTTAATTAACTAGGTAAACGAAATTATTTTATATGGTTATCAAACGAGAGAGGCTTAATAATGCTATGTTTCAAAAATAGTTTCAAAGGGGCTGCCACCTGTTTAGAAATTAAAAATGATTTTAATCAACAATATGTATGGAATATTCTAATATGGATATCAACCGAGAGGGTTTAAGCAAAATATACTTCAAAAAATAGTCTTAAAGGGGCTGCCACCTGATACAGGATTTTTTTTTTAAGAGTTACCGCCTTTTTCAAAAGTTAGAGTCCATCAATTAATAAGCTAAATAAAATAGGAAAAAGGGGTTTTAAGGAGGTTGCCACCTGTTAAAATTGTTTTTGTTATTTTTTGGCCTTATAACAATTATATTCAACAATTTATGTTGAGCTCGAGGCCGTTTTTTAAATGAAAATTTATTTTGGAAAAGCAACAATAATTTGAAAAAATGGTAGAAGTGATAAATTTTAATATCTAAAATATTTTTAAAGAGGGTTGCCACCAGCTTAGGAAGTTGTATACAATTTAATTGACAAGTTAAATAAAATTTTACTAATGTTGTAAATGAGAAGGTTTGTGAGGTCTTCTGTGAGTATGTCTATTGTTCTTTCTTTGGATAAAATTGAGCCAGGAGATATATAACATATTTTAGAAGAAGGTTGCAAAAAAATTAAATTTTTTTTTTAAATTATAAGTTCAGGGAATTTGTACAATTTGGGTGCCGAACAAATGAGTTTAAAAAGAGTTTTAGAACGGAAATATTTTTAATAGGATTTCTGCCTATTTAAAAAATATTGAATCAATTTTGTTATAAGTTAAATGAAGTATTACAAAAGGGGTCGAAAACGAAAGCTCTAGATAATTTTGTTATTATTCAGCCTAAAAAGTTCTTTCGATCCTCTTTTTGTTTCTTATAGCTTAACAGGTTTAGGGCTCTATTTCTACATGTTGGAGGGTTGCCATCTGTTAAGAAAGTCAACTTGAATTTGAATTAAGGGCTTTAGGTAATTAAAATATTAGATCAAAACATGGGTGTCAGATGAAAGAAACTTAAGAAGATTTTAGCTTGAAAATATTTTGAAGAGGGTAAAAAAATTAGTTGGGGCCTCCTGTTTTTGGGTGAGTTTAAGTACGTAATGTTTTATAAAAAAAAATAAAATAAAATAAAAAAATTTCACACATCTAGTGAAGCGGCTGTTGAAAAACTAGCATATTTATAAGAAGTGGGTTTGCGCCAGCTCAAGTTTCCTCTTATTTTGGCGGCGTGCCTGAGAATAACTACATAAATATGTATGTTTTAAATTGATATACACACGTGGATATAACTTAGTTGATTTAGTTAGTATTCACTCATTTATTAACAACCCAAGAACTGGCAATTTTTTTTCTAATTTTGTAAGTAAATTAACTAAATTAAACTTTCTGCATAATGAAAGGACAACTTTAATAGTCGCCATCAACATTCATTACAAAATCACATTTTCTTATTTTTTTCTACTTGCAGACCACGAAAGAAATCAGCAGCAGGTGAAGGCTTAGAGAATAAAACCCAAATGGTTAAAACAACAAGGGAGACATTAAAGCTAACAAATTACTTCGTTCAGAAGACGAATTAAGCAGAGAATATAAAGAAAAATGAGCGGCGGAAGAGCTGAATGAAGTACATCAAATGAGGGAGAAAGTTAATACTTGCAGAAAATTAAAGGGGGAAATGTGTATATAAAAGTGTGCATTGAAGTGATCCACATAATGAAAAATTGAAGCAAAAAAGGAAGAAAAAATTAAATGGAAAAATTAGAAAGAAAAATTTGATGAGGAAAAAGAAATTAAAATGACAACGTATAATAAGAAACACGAAATTATTAAGGATAAAGGAAATAAAAGTAACAAAAAACTTAATTCAAAAAATGCGAAAGTGTTGGAAAACATCTTACAAGAGGAGTGAAATAAAAATTAATTATTTAAAAGACATTTGAGCTAAAAATTTAGCAGAAGCAAAGAAAAGTAATACAAATTTTCAAAAGTTGCCAATAATTGTCGGTATATGTATGTATGCATGTGTGCTGGTGCATATGTATTGGTGTTGATAGCATGAAATGTGAAAATCAAGTCGCAAGTGCAAGCCAGGCGTGCAAGCAAGATAAGCACGCCATTATAGAATGACTAACTGGCGAATACTACCAAACAATAATACACTGAACAATACACAGGGGTCCCGGGGGCGTATACGTAACCTCAACAAAGAGCAAATAAGGGAAATGAAATGACTGAATGAATGAATTACTGTGCAACGAAGCGAAGTCAAGTGCATGTAATCATGTAAAGAATAGAAAAGTACCAGAAGGAAAAAGAACAAACGAAAAAGAAAAAAGAAGAGGCGAAAGAGCTAAAGAAAAGTGCAACAAAAATTTTAGTACTCGTACAATAAAATTAGTGTTACAGCAAATTAGTGCTAGAAAAAAAGCACAAAAAAAGTGGAGTGAAATAAAAATATTGGATGAAACAAAAATGTGAAAGAACTAAGAAAGTAAAATAAATGAAAGGAAAATAATGAACTCGCCGGCAAGTTAGAATGAAATTAATGCGGTGAATAGCGCGAGTTTGGAAAGGACGAGAGAGAGAGAGGTGGGGTGAAAAGTGGTGCTAGAGAAAAACTTGTTACAAGTGCATACACGCGGCGGAGCCGTGCGGAGGAGTAGGAACAATTGCATTAAGTTTAGAGCTGAGAAGTAGCGCAGCGGAGTGAAGTGAGTGGGAGAGCAAGTGAAGTGAATTAGAAGAGCTGCAGTGGCTGCAGGCAAAACTAGCGTGCTGGGCGTGGTGTCGACGACGTAAGCATAGCTAAAGGTACAATTAGCAGCTTTCCTTTCCTTTGAACAACAACAACAGCAAGGGCAGATAAAAGTGTTGCTGGGTAAAATAAATAAATAAAAGATGAAAACAAACTAAATTAAAAATTACACAGACTGTACCCCGAAGTACGATTACTTTCTAATTACAGCTTCTTAGATGTGGCTGCAGGCAACTTAGTTCGCTGTGGAGGCGCTGAGGCACATTGCATGTTGCCAGAATTTTAATAAAGCAAACACGAACAGTATGTGCGAGAAAAGTGAACAATTTCACTGCGCCACTAAACACAACAACAGCAGCTGCAGCAGCAGCAATAAAAACAAGCTGCTTACACCTGCATGCAGCATACTTTTAGGCGCTAAAGCTTTAGTACCAACGTCGTCTAGTATTGGCGCAATGTTAGCGCGGCAATTGAGGCGCTGGCTGGCATGTCGACGTCGTAGGAAGCGGAGAAAGAGCCACGAGGAGGAGCAGCAAAACAAGTGCGACAACAAAAACAACAACAGAACAGGCAAAACAACAGCCAGCAGTAGTAGAGGTGGCATAGAAAAACAAAGTAGAGGCATACGTGTAATCAACAGCAAACGTAATGAGAACAGTGCCAGCCGGGCAATGGCATTAACAGCAAGATTGTTGCTTGCTGCGAATTACAAGCAGAGCGGCTTGTTGCTAGCGCGAAACAGCAATTGCCTGGCAACTGAAAAAATGGCAGCAGTGGTAGAGTTGGAAGAATGCATTTTACCACGGCCATTGTTAGCTGTGTGTACTGCAACAATAAAGACAAAAACAACAACTGCATCACTAATAAGGCCGTTGTCAAAGTTGGTAAAAAGCAAGCGGCTCTCAAGCAGACGGAGACCGGGGGCAGTGGTGGGAGCAGACAAGATGATGCACCAGGAAAAGCAGCAACAGCAGCAAAAAGCGGCATACTCACAAACAGCCGCTACTGTGGCGAATGATTTGCCTTCCACTTACCCAGAAGAAGAAGAAGAAGAACAACAACAACAACAACAACAGAAACAAAATTTCCGGCAATTTCCCGCTGACAACCCACTCCAAGCGCGCCTACAAGCCGAGGCAAATGAGAGGCAAACAACATTTTTGGGCATGCAATATAGTAGCCAGCACGAAATGCAGCATGAAACACATGAGCTGCAACAACAACAAACTAAGCAACAACACTGCCTACCAGCGCTAGCAGCAGCAACGTCGGCTGCTGCAAAACAGCGAGTAGCTTCAAAAGAATGCGTCCAACAACGAAGTTGGCGAAATTTAATTGCATGTATTGTACGTGTACCCCATGCAGAAACAAGTGAAACAGCAACAACAACCACTGTGATGTTAAACAGTGCTGTGCACCCAGCAACAGCAACAGCAACAGTAAAAGCAACAACAGCAACTGGAGCAGCAACGCAAATCAATTCAAGGCGCGCATGTATCGCTTCTGTCGAAAGCAACAGCGCGCACGAAAAAAAAGCACCCACAGCAAAGGCAATAAAAAGTTTGCCAATAACAACAAAAAATGCGACAGCAACATTAACTAGCATGCCATCACAGCTCGAACATGTGCCGTTTGTTGTTGCGACGCGTAAATCCAAATGTCGCAGAACATTCGCGTTGACAAGCGCATTAACAACGTCGACGATGACGACGACGACGACGACGACTACGGCTACGGCTATGACAAAAAAACCAACAGTGATAAAGGCTACAAAAACAACAACGAGAATGAGTAAAACAAAAGCGCCATTAGCCCGCAACAGAACACTGGCAGCTTTTTTTGGCGATATTTTGACACTGCTTGTTGGCTCAGTGGCGCTACATGCTACCGGTAAGTCCACCGATTTATGTACATACATACAGATAAACTTACGCATTTGCGTTTTTGAAAGATAAATTTTATTTGTGGATATGTACTTATATGGGGCATTCCGAGTCAAATCGGACACCTTTTGGCTTTTGCATTTCTTCTTTTTTTAATAATTTATAATGTTACTTAATTAATTTTTTTTTGTACAGTCGTTTTCGAGATATCGATTTTTCAATCGATTTATCAATGTTCAAAAACGCATTTCTATAAAATTTCAGAATATTTAATATAAATGTTGATAAAAAAAAAAAATGCATCGATCGATTTTCTTGAAATTTTTTTTCTGGAAAACTGTCACTCATTCCGGAACTTTTAATGCTGGATTTCCATTAGACATTAAATGGAAAAAATTGTAATGACAAAGTTGCACATTAAAAAAATAATCGTGTCATTACGTTTAAGATAGTCATTAAGTTCATTTTCACATGGCATTTTTTAAATGAAACCAAATTTTGTCATTTCAATGTCTAGTGCGAATTCGCCATAGGACTGGCTCGATAATGTTTAAATTAATGAAAAACTATTCGATAATTAAAAACAATAAAAACCTACTTTTTAATTTTAAATTTTTAATTATTAAAAAATTTAAATAATCCTCTCACAAAATGGTTTATTTTTTAACCACAAAAAATACTTTTTTTATTTTCATTTTTAAAAGCTAAATTTTGCAATAAAATTTAAATTTAAAAACTAAATTTAACAAAGTACAGATTTTTATCAAATGATGGCTAAAAATATAAAAAAAAAGTTTAGCAAATCAAACTTTTGAGAGGCTAGGCTTACCGAAAAATTCTTAAGCAATTCTCTTCCAAAAAAATTTAATGTTTTTTTTTGGAAATTCAAAGAGAAAAAAAGATTTTTTTTTTTAGCTGAAGAAAAAATGAAAACATTTTTTATTTTATTTTTGCCTGCGTCAAATGAAATGCGTTCATGAAATTCTAGAGAGAAACAAACTCTGCATAACTGCAGTGGAAAGTGCTACGCCGCGATTCATGTAATCGATTTGTAAACTAAACAATTTGGTGTTTTTTTTTGTAAGAGATATGAACAAGAAATTATGTAGCTCATACGCCATGTACGACTATCCGAGCATTTGATCGTAGTACTTTCCACTTAAATTATCTATGCAATTTCCAATGCAATTTCTTCCTCTTCAATATAGTATTAAAATAATTTTTGATTAATTCATTTAAAAATTCTTGGCGTTAAGTTCGACAAAATTTACTAGTTGTTTAACAATTTAAAATCCGGAGAAAATAGATCTCATTTTCGTTGGACATGGAGGCCTCTCTCAATTGGTACTATAACATAAAAAATTATGCAAAAGCTAAATGACGTCCGAATTGAGCTGGAATGCCCCAAAAGTGTACATATTTGGGGTGCTCAAACAGTTCTTAAAAAAATTACATGGAGTGGGCAAGCTTTTTTAGTGCTCACGAAAATACATATTTAAATTGTGGCCAACGATTTATACGCTTTGCTGAAAATTAGGCATATCCGAATAGGACTACTTTTTATTCTCCTTTATGTAAAACTAGCCTATACCCGTGCGATTCACCCCACCTATATATTAAACATTTATACAAAATAATTTGAAATGTTACAATATGTTATATTTCTTCTCTCATTGTACTATAGCTGTATAATTTTTTTAAGCGAGGTAAGGTATTAAGAGCGCTTAAAATTATCGAACTATATAATATTGTTTGCACGGTAGATTTTGTAGTGATAATATGTGAGATACCTTTAAGCTTAAACTGGTTCAAGAGACCCGCTGCGTCAACGTGTATATTTCTTGGAGTTGCAACGCCCGGATTTTAATATTTCCAACTTTACTTTACAACTTCCAGAGTTATGCACCATGCGAATTTTGCATCATATCAGAGTAGCTATGTCCTTTTTCTATTAACTCCGAAATTTGTTAAGTCTTCACAAGAAATTGCACTACCTTAGCAAAATTACTTCCAGAGAATTGCTGTATGAAAGGCTCAGTATGTACGGAAAGCGCCGTACCCCCTTTTAAAATAACCACCACTATTGTCCATAGGTATATGAAGTATTTCACATACTTACCTCCCTACCAAGCTCCACTACTCTTAACTCAAAAACATTCAAAGCTACACAGTATCAAACATTTTCTTTTGTATGGGGGGTGTCACACCCCCTTTTCCTATAACTCATAATTCTCCATGTGTATGGAAATGATTTTGTATCATTCGATACCATGTTCCAGTACACCACTATAAACACTACAAATACGCCGTATGGAAAATTTATTATATGTATATGAGATGAGCTACGCCCTCTAATTCAATTATGCCCATTTTTCACCATGAGGTTGGCATCAGTTTCATATATCTTCATACAAATTTCCCGTACTGTACCACAAACACTTCCAGAAATACACAGTAAGAAAATTTTTCGTATACCTTCTCACCAACTTCCAATTCTGTCCCAAAATACTTCCACAGATATGCAGTTAAAAAAAAAAAAATGCAGCCGCTTTTTTCTACTACGCTCACTTTTGTCCACGAGTACTGAATTAATTTCAACTACCTTCGTACAAAAAATGCAATTCTCTGTAATAAATACTTTCCAAGATATGTTTGCATTATGGAAATATAAATTTGTATAGACCGCGCCACGCCCCGCTTATATATTAAAGTTATTTTTGACCTATGATCATCCTTAGGATGTCTGCAGTAGGTGTACCAAATTCGATTATGGTCAAGCGCAACTCCGTGCATGCCTAGATACATACGTACATGATTTGAATTCTATATATATATTCAGTGTATCCTCGAATTGGTGACAATTTTTTTTTTTTGTTTTTCAATAAAAATATTTTCGTCCATTTAAGAGGTCCAGGACAAGTTAAAGTTCGAAGTTCATTTAGAGGTTGAAAAAGGCTCTTTTTCTCCTCAAAATCCGAATCTGAATGAAGACAACATGTAGTCGATTCACTGATTTGGACAGCAGCTACAACAAAAAAAAAAAAAACAAAACAGTGGAAGATTTTCGCTCGGGTTTCCTTTAAATTTTTAAGTTATTTTCTACAGTGTAAAATTTATAGTTTGATTTTCAGTTAAATAAATATCTAGAATATTTAGATTCTGGTTTACAAAATACTAGGCAAAACCCCGGTTTATTAGATACAGTCGGTATTCGAAAATTCAAGTTAAAAACAAAACCGCCAACAAATATTGAAAAAAAATAAAATTGGTTCGGTTTGGAAAAACGCGTCAATCATTCTACCTTAAACCAAAACATCGCTGATCAACTAGCAGCGGTAAGAAAGTCAAAAATATCTTCATCGACTAACAGCTAAAAAAGCTCAATAAAATTTGCTTGCAAATATTTATGTCTCAAATTTTTCCCCACCTCAAAATGTTAGATTTCAATATTTTTTGAAGCTCCCCTTAAATCAATAAACAACGATAGCAAGATCTATGTAATACCGCTATTACCGTTACATAGTTTTAGTTTATTATTGTTGTGGTTTTCCGTGTGCATGACACACTTGTTTTGAGGGCGCCAATAAAGCCGAAAGTAATTTACGGCACAGTTGGGCGGCTAAGCTTTCCGGTCAACGATTGGTTAGGATTCGCGGCGTGTCGCATTGTAATGTACTTACATATGCACATATGCACATTAGGGTGGCCCTTAAATCTGGGAAGCAAATTTTTTCAACCCCTACGTCGATGCTACTAAATATTGTCGAAGATATTCTCATATAAATTTTGGTTCCGATTGGAGACGGTTAAGGCGTGTCGCACAGTGGCCAAACTTCAGATTATCCTATGAAAACGTCTTAATCGACTGCAATCGGGAACAAAATTTGTAGTAGTATCGATTTTGAGTATTAAATGAAAGAAATATTTTAAACTTTTTGAGTCTCCATAGAGGCTTTTGGCCTTTGCCCCCTCTGCGACACGCCCTAACCGTCTCCAATCCGAACCAATATTTATATGTGATATCTGTGATAGTGGTATTACCGATTGAAGGGGTGAGACTGAAAAAAATTGTTAATTTTATTTTTTAAGGACCACCCTAATGTACATATTTAGGTATGTAAATCGAGGTATCGCAGCTAATGCTAATGCAGTGCGAAACAGATGCCAAAATTTGTTGAATATGCAAATAGAATTCGCACAAATGTTAAGCGAATGCACGCATACATACATATCTACTTGCATAGTTATGCAAAAATGTGTGCCAATGTATGCGAAATGTGTATTTGCAGTTTGCCATTAGCCATTTAAATGCCAAATTCCGCGAATCTGTCTAGTTAAATATTTGCTTTTATGCACACTCCCATGCACTTGAATAGGGACAATGCTTTTTCGCTATTTTCCTGAGTTATTTTTCTTTTATTTATTTCCATTATTTTTCTTTTATTTATTTCCATTATTTTTCTTTTATTTATTTCCATTATTTTTCAATTAAAACACAGCTCATTCTCCTACAAAAACTGCATAAACCAAAATTTCAAACTTTTTAGAAAATTAAAAAATAAAATCATCAAATTTTTATCAACACTTAAAACTTTTTTCTCAGCATTTTTTAAATTTTTTGCACTATGAAGCTTTGTAGCTCATTAAATTTTAGTATAATAAAGTGCCAGTTTAAAGTACATAAATAGCTACAAGCTACCGTCGATTTTTTTTAAATTTTTTTACTGACACTCCATATAAAAAAATGCGCAGACTAGCGCAAAATAATGGAAATCAAACAGAAGAAAAATTATTCCGGAAAATCAGGAAAAAAGCGAAAAAGCATTCAAGCACCTATTCAAGTGCATGGCAGTGTATGTATTTATGTATGCACTTTAGGGTGTAGATAGCAAAAAAATTAAAAAAAAAAATCGCTACTGTTTTTCGATCGGATTATAAAATGTATTACATTTAAAGACTTTTGCCAAAATACTTCGGAAAAATATTAAGATTTACGATTTGAAATGACCTTCAAAAATCGAGTTAAAAAAAAATATTTTTAAAAATATTTTTTCCAAAAAGTCACCTCAGCTAAGCTTAAAAGATCTGCATAAAAATGTTTCCAAATATTATCAATAGAGTCAAAATACAGAGAGTTTTGTGGGTATTTTTAAATCGGTCCAGCTCAAATAAATTTCATATTTTTCTGAAATTTTTTCGGCGAAAGTCTGAAAATATTGTAAACTTTATAATTTCTGTAAAAAATCGATTTTTTTTAGTGAAGCACCCTAATGCTCATGTACGTAACTGTCGAATGCACGCTCTTCAATGTTAATCCGCGCCACAAAATATAAACATCGAATGAGATTTACGCTATTGGCATTTTAATTTTTTATTGATCGGTTTATTGTATTTTGTGTTTTGTTTTATGATTTTTTGTTAGTGCTTGGGGTTGTGTATCAAGGATTAATCAGACAATAATTCCGCTTAGCCTAGGGCTAATGTTAATCGCTATTTATTTATGAATATATGTACATATGAATATACATAAGTACACACATTTATTATTGCGTGCAGACAGCTAAACCTGCGGGCAAATTGAATTGATTTATTTGCTGATAGTTATATCTTCCTATTTGTATAATTTTTTGTTTAAATTTAATAATGATTGGGCTTTTTGGTATTACTATTGTAGCGTATTAGGTATTTTTAAAAACAATAGTTGAGTCTACATAAAAATAATCGATATTTATTGTTTCCGAATAATCACGGGACTTAGGTTCAATATGTAGGCTCTAAACAGGCGTTTAACTTAGACAGGATTTATTTCCATTTATCTGAAATAGCTGGGTTTCTAAACAAGTCTATTGACTGTCTTGGTTGTTTATAAGATACAGGAAGTTAGGTTGGAGGGCCGCCCCCGTAGGTATTTAGAAGCACACTTAGACAGATTTCGACGTCTATTATGGGCCCTTAAGATAGGAGGGGAAAAGACATAAGATGTAACATAACGATGACACCTGAGGCTTCTTATAGCAAAAACGCTCCGTGCTCACCACGACGCTGCTCAAGCGAATGATGTCAGCTTCCGAAAGCTCACCGGTAGTGTGTAAAAAAGTGACTGACTAAACGCCCATCTGTCCAGAAGCAGACCACACGAGGTCCGGAAGTAATTCCTCCAAGGGTTTCCTGTCTTGCCAGCTCATCGGCCATGCAATTTCCAGCGATTTCGCTATGACCTGGATCCTTGACCTCCTTAAAAGGTGTTACATTAGTGAGCAACTAATTCGTAGTCTTTTTTATTGCGACCACCTCTACCTGGAAGACGCTGCAGAAGACACCTCCACTAACCTTCCCATTCAGCTTCGATCGATCTGTCCTCTCTCGCTAGAACGTGGGTGCTGAAAGATCCATTCGGACCTAGAACCTGCGCGCAGTGGTCTATCCGAGTCGGTAGGAATCGGAAGCGTTTTAGAATACTGGAGTGTCCGTAGCTCGTGGCGAACATAAAGCCCACCCCACTTAGCCTTACTGCGGAGCGCGCTGCGGAAGCATGACTTTAAGCGCCAGAGTAGGTGTAGTCCGAAGTGCTCCACTGATTCCAATTAAGGCGCTTCTTTGCACACTTTTCAGCTACTTGACGACGAAGGCCTTGTCAAGTGCATTCCACCAAACGAGTACCCCATATTATAAAATTAGAGGCGTCTTGTTTC